AATGCTTATATGGGTATGCAGAGCATGTAGAGTGATACAAATAAATATACAACGTCTAAAACCGGTAAGTATCAATATATACATTTGGGAGCATAAATATCCTCATTTAAAATTTAAAATAGTGCAGTTGAGAATAAGGTGCAGTCAGAACAGATACATGTAGTATTCACATTGATTGGTATGTTTTAGTGGGTTTTTCTGTTCATAGTCTAACGGCAGTGGGGAAGAAGCTGTTTTTGAACCTTGCAGTCCTTGTTCTCAAACTGCGGTACCTCCTGCCAGAGGGGAGGTGGGAAAATAATTTGTGGCCAGGGTGAGTGGGGTCCTTGATGATTCCCATTGCTCTTGATAGGCATCTTTTCTGGGCCAGCTCCTCAATGATCGACAGAGTTAGTCCCAATAGTCCGCTCAGCTATCCTCACCACTCTGCTCAGCGCTTTTCTCTCTGTAGATTTACAGTTCTCAAACCAGAGAGAAATGTTGCTGGTCAGAACACTTTCAATGGTGCCCCTAGAAAGTGGTCAGGATGGATGGACTAAAGTGGGCCCTCTTCAACCGCCGCAGGAAGTACAGGCGCTGGTGTGCCTTTTTGATGAGGGAGGAGGTGTGCCGGTCCCAGGACAGGTTGTTGGCCACTTGAACCCCCAGGAACTTTGTGTTTTTTACGATCTCCACAGCAGTCCCATTGAGGTGGATCGGGGCATACACAGGCTGATTTCTACTGAAGTCAATCACCATCTCCTTGGTTTTCTCGACGTTCAGGGCTAAGTTGTTTGTCCAGCACCAGTCTGCAAAGAGTCTCACCTCCTCCCTATATGCCCTCTCATCTCCGTCCTGGATAAGACCCACCACTGTCGTGTCGTCCGCGTACTTTATGATGTGATTGGTGCTTGACTTTGCGCAAAAGTCATGAGTCATCAGTGTGAAGAGAAGAGGGCTGAGAACACTTCCCTGCGGGGAGCCAGTGCTCAGTGAGATGATGGTGGATGTGTTGTTGCCTACTCGCACAAACTGAGGCCTGTCTGTGAGAAAATCCAATATCCAGTTACACAGAGGAGAACTTATGCCCAGTTCGTCTGAGCCCAGTTTGTTGACCAGATGCTGGGGGATTATAGTGCTAAATGCCGAGCTGAAATCAACAAACAGCATCCGCACAAGAGAGTTCTTGTTCTCCAGGTGTTCCAGGCTAAAGTGCAGTGTGGTGGATATGGCATCCCCAGTAGAGCGGTTTGGACGGTAGGCAAACTGAAATGGGTCCAGTGAAGGGGGGAGGGCAGACAAGATGTGGTCCTTTACTAGTCTCTCAAAGCACTTCATTATTATAGAAGTGAGTGCTACGGGCCGGTAGTCATTCAGACTATTGATGGTGTGTTTTTTTGGAACAGGGATGATGGCTGAGGTATCATGTCTGGACCAGCGGCTTTCCGTGGGTCAATTTTCTTCAGCACCCGGTGGACATCCGCTGGATCCAGTGTGAGCACCTGATCTCCTTCCTGTGGTGTGGTTTTCCTCGCTGGTGTGGTATTCTGTGCTTCAAACCTACCGAAGTAATTATTGAGGTTGTTGAGGAAATCCATGCTGTCGTCACAGGACTGGGGAACAGTCCTATAGTCCGTGACAGCCTGGATTCCCTGCCACAGTTTCCTGGTGTCTCTATGGTCGTTAAAGTGACCTTGGATTTTTTGTCCATGTGCTCTCTTTGCCATTCTGATTGATTTGTTCAGATTGGCTCTTGCAGACCTGAGAGCAGTGACATCCCCAGATTTGAAGGCAGAGTTCCGGGCTTTGAGCAGGGCTCGGACCTCTGTCGTCATCCATGGTTTCTGGTTCGCCCGGACTGTAATGTTTTTTGTGACACAGACATCATCCATGCACTTGAGTATGTATCCTGATACGACTTACTCAGCATACTCCTCGATGTCTGTGGTATGGCCTTTGGTGGCAGCATCTCTAAAAATAGACCAGTCGGTGCATTCAAAGCAGTCCTGCAGAGCTGACATGGCTCCCTCCGGCCAGACTCTCACCTGCTTTACGGAGGGCTATGCTCTGACGAGTAGGGGTCTGTATGCTGGAGTTAGCATGACCGAGATGTGGTCAGATGAGCCAAGGTGGGGGCGGGGTGATGCCTTAAATGCTCCCTTAATGTTTGTGTAAACATGATCCAGTGTGTTGGTTCCCCTTGTTGCAAAGTCCACATGTTGGTAAAAGTGAGGGAGGACTTTTTTCATGTTTGCCTGATTGAAGTCCCCAGCAACTATGAGTACTCCCTCTGGATGTATAGTTTGCAGCTTGTTTATGGAACGATACAAAGTTTTTAGGGCTGTTTTAGTATCTGTATGTAGACACCAGTGATGATTATGGCAGAGAACTCCCTTGGAAGATAGAAGGGGCAACATTTAACTGTCAGAAGCTCAATGTCCGGGGAGCAATGAGAGTGGATCCCATCTATGTTTGTGCACCATCTGTTGTTGATATAGATGCTGCACACCCCACCGCCTTTAGATTTTCCACTGAGGGCTCTACTTCTATCCGCATGGAAAGTAGTTAGCCCCTCCATGCTAATGGCGTTCTCTGTGACTGTGTCATTTAACCAGGTCTCAGTGAAAATCAGAGCTCAGAGCACAACAATCGCCCACCTCCCGTTTTGTTAGGTCCAGTCTGATATAATCCAATTTGTTCTCCAATGAGCGGACATTAGCCAGCAGGATTGATGGTAAAGGCGTCCTGCATGGGTTAGCTCTGAGCTTAGCACTAGGTCCTCCGGGCTTACCCCTCTTCTGCCTCCGCAAACACCGCCTCCGCTTCCTCTGATGGTGGGTAGCGCTGGAGCGAAGAGTCGGTGTTGTGCTGGCCTCTCGCGGAGAACGTAGCAGTTCGAGCGTCTTGAGTGAGTCCGCAGTGTTATGATTAATAGTTCCTATTTTACCAACTGTGAGCAGTAACATTAGATCATGCCGAATGCCGATCGTACGCCAGCCTCCTCTTGCCTCGTCGTTCAGCAGTCGGGTCTCGGTCGGTGTTTTTAACTCTTTCATCTGTATTTTTGCCGTGAGCCATTGCAGCCGCTGCCGACATGGGCGCCGCCATTTTGGATTTCACGTGGAGGTTCGGGTTGATGATAATGATTAGTTCATTATATTTCATTATCGGACTCGCGCTCGCATTGATATGGTAAAATCGACGTCATTGTTTGTTAATGTCTTTAGTTTACGGTGTAGGAAAGCATCAGGACAAGCAGAGCTGACGTTGTTATGGCAATGGGCGTGTTTGTTTTCGACGCGCGCGCTGTACGCGGTAAACCAATTACAACAGACTGAGCTGTCTGGCCAATCAGAGCAATTTTACCTTTGATGCATGTAAACCTGTTGTAGGAGACATTAGGAATCTTTAAAATAGCATAATAGGGGCACTTTAAAGGTGGTCTCTACGCGATGTCACACGTTTTTTAGGCTGAAACATTTTTTGTCACATACAGCAAACATCTCCTCACTATCCGCTAGCTGCCTGTCCCCTGAACACACTGTAAAAAAAAACGCGGTCTCTGTAGACACCCCAGGCTCCACAAACGGCAACAAAAACAAACTGGGCAAACCTGGACCACAAAACACAACAAACAGTGTTCCAGCCAATAACTGACAAGAATGATATGGGGGTGGGGGTTGGGGGGGGTTAGTGCGCGTGGGGGTGTGGAGGAGAGAGAAGACCACTGTATAAAACATGTGACAACTTGCCCCAAGCACCCACACAAGCTTATTCAAAAGGTGCATTCACGCCATGTCGTAGTTTCTGCAATAAGATGCTTTCAACTTGTAAAAAACTTTCAAGTCCTCATAGAGCTCCTAATTACGATGGGAATTTTCTGAGAGCTCCAACTCTCTGCAGTTTCATCTAGGCGTTGATGGTGGTGCCATAGAAATGCATACTTTCCAGTCCGAGGAAGTAAACATCTCAGAATATAACGTCACGTGTTGTCATTTTGAGACTACGGCAATTACGACATGTATGTACATGCTTGAATGCAGCAAAATACCGCCTTGCTTTAGTAGGAAATACTTTTATGGTGTCGACTTGTATTGTTTCAGTTGGGCTAAGTTACTTTCAGTTTCAAGGGAAAGATCCAGCACATTGTAGGCAGCAGCTAAATGGCTGCAAAGAATCGTAAATACGACTAGAACGATGCTACGGAAATGTTGACTAGCCTACTCAACATTTCAAACTAGATGTCCATGAACACAGCCAAACAGAGGGAAAAAAATGAAAGAAACTGCCGTTCTGTCAGTTCTACCCGAGTGGTATTTCAAGTACAGGTAAGAAATTTGTTGCCATAGTGTTCCATTTTTACCATAATGCTGTTTAAAGAGATTTAATTTTCAGTGATATACCTACCCTTACAATAACTGTTATGTTAATAACCCTCTGTCGATCTGACTGTCTGTGGGCGGGGATACAAAAATCATAAATCGCGTCATACAGCGGACTTTTGCTGACAAATAAACGTGAACGAGTTAACATGGTTCATTTACACTACTGACATTGTAACATTACAAAGCTGCCTGACAAAGTTACACTTTAATTATTACCCAACTTCTGGCCTGTGCAGTTCATCTTTTAATGACTGAATGATTGGTTAGAATGATTTAAGTTTAACATATTTAAATCTCTGATGAAGCAAGCAACTTTTAGTCCAACTAGTCATTATCCAACAGAACTACAGTAGGCAACATTTGAAGTGGATCAAAACCTTTCATCAAAGTTATACATGAATTTTAAACAACACCCTTTCTTGTCTTAGGGACAATATTGATAACTTTTTAACATGGAAGTTATTTTTATATGAAACTATTTTTAGCTGATCGTGTCCAGCTGAGCTCGAGGGCTCTCTGCAGGGCTCTGGTGTCATGAAACTGGTCGGGCAGGTAGATGTGACACTGGCATTTCTACATTGAAACTAAAAGAGGGAGGATAAGAGGGCAGTCTTAACTATGTCTTGAAAAGCAGGTGAAAATGGAAAAGAGGGTGTCATTGTTCCTTTAGGACTGTAGAGACAGGTTGAAATCCTGTCCAGCCAAATACACAGTCATTTTTGGATCTAACCATAGTTCTCACTCCTGTTCCTAATGGCAGACAATGACACGGTAAGAGAGAATAGTTTTGGCTGCAGGCTGCAGGTTGTATGCTTTTGTATTTATCTCATTGTATTGTATTGTTTTTATGCATGTGTGTCATGTTACAATGTTCTTTATCGTGTGGTTTATTTCAGTGGACTTTTTATATAAATGCATTTGTAATAAGGGTCTGGCTTGTATGTTGAGCACCAGATGGTACTAAGAAAGTTTTTGTATTGCTTTGTAAAAACAATGAAATAGAAATGGCGAATAAAAATAGAGCTGTTAATTGGTTCAAATGATTTTGAAGTGTGATTAATCTTAAGTGTGATTAAACAAATTTGAACTTAAGCATTAATGCATTACCAATATGTGTCACACCCTCATTAGGACAAAAAAAAGTTGTGGCATTAACATTTTTCACACATTTACCAAGTTCAGGAATCACTAACTAAAAGAAGGCCTACAGTATTTACTGAGCTACATGATCAAGAAAGTATTAGAATTATAAATAAACGGTATGTACTTTAGAATAAGGTTCCATTTGTTAACAATCTGTTAATTTTATTCAGTGGACCTGAGCTAATGTGGACTAACAATGAATGCATTTTTTAGCAAAGAGGAATAATTTCATTGTTAATGTTAGTTAATGCATTAAAGGGATACTCCACTTTTTTTGGAAATAGGCTCATTTTACAACTCCCTCAGAGTTAAACTGTTGAGTTTTACCGTTTTTGAATCCATTCAGCCGATCTCCGGTTCTGACGGTACCACTTTTAGCATAGCTTAGCATACATCATTGAAGTGGACAAGACCATTAGCAGTTCTCAAACAAAAATCACCAAAGAGTTTCAACATTTTTCCTATTTAAAACTTGACTCTTCTGTAGTTACATCGTGCACTAAGACCGACGGAAAATGTAAAGTTGCGATTTTCTAGGCTGATATGGCTAGGAACTATACTCTCATTCCTGCGTAATAATCAAGAAACTTTACTGCCGTACCATGAGAGCAGCAGGCGTAATGATATGATGCAGCGCTTGAAAATAGGCCACCTTCCGTCAACACAACGGAACTATTTTCAGGCGCTGCGTCATATCATTACGCCTGCTGCTCTCATGGTACGGCAGTGAAGTTTCTTGATTATTACGCAGGAATGAGAGTATAGTTCCTAGCCATATCAGCCTAGAAAATCGCAACTTTACATTTTCCGTCGGTCTTAGTGCACGATGTAACTACAGAAGAGTCAAGTTTTAAATAGGAAAAATATCGAAACTCTTTGGTGATTTTTGTTTGAGAACTGCTAATGGTCTTGTCCACTTCAATGATGTATGCTAAGCTATGCTAAAAGTGGTACCGCCAGAACCGGAGATCGGCTGAATGGATTCAAAAACGGTAAAACTCAACAGTTTAACTCTGAGGGAGTTGTAAAATGAGCCTATTTCCAAAAAAAGTGGAGTATCCCTTTAACTGATGGTAATTAATGGGAAGTGTCACCTAAATGATTATACTAATGTAAAAATATAGTGATGTATATTCAGTATATATAATCTTGTTCCTCAGTTAAAGGTAATACATGAAACATTAAAGCTATATATATATATATATATATTATTTTTTATTTTCTTCATTTTTTTTCACTTTGACAGTTTGCTGATAATTGCTTTATATAATTGCTGATCATGCTATTTTGGGTAATGGTAAGAGTTTTGACAAACAGTTCCTCCACATTGATCTGAAAACTTTCTCATTCCCTGTCTAAGCTTTGGTATCATACACGGAAAAATGAGACTTAAAACACACCTCATTGGTCAAATTTTTTGAAGGCGTTTAGCTATATATTTAATAATTTTAGCTGTCTGTATCACCCGAAGGACTTGTTGTGAAACCCACTTAATGCTAAAGAAGTATTTAAAGATAATCTAGGATTTTGAGGTAGTTGAATAACACTCATGCAGGATACCTTTGGCTTGCTCAGTTGGGGATATTCAAATTAAATGACCCATCACACCACTGATCAGCTCTACCAAACTTGGATGTCTTTTTTCAGTAATAAACAAACACTGTTAAGTTGTTTTGATTGATACTGTGAAGCAGCTTTGATACAATCTGTATTGTGAAAAGCGCTATATAAATATATTTGACTTGACTTGACTTACATGCATGTCAGACAGAAACCCACTATTCTAGACTGAAACTAGGGTCAGTGTTCTGGTTTGTCAATTTAAGAGGCATCATTCTAGACCAGGGTATTTAAATATAACTATAGTTAAGTAGGTTTAATGATTACTCAAAGAAGCATTATTATGATTATTATAACTTTATTATGACCAATTCACATTTGACATTATAAAGAAGGTAGTGGCACTGCAGCAAAAAACGATCAACTAAAGTTGAAAACTCTATATAAAATATCAACAACTAAATGTGATTTTGGTAACAAATATGACTGGTCTGGTTGAATGGGTTAAGCACCCATATGTATTAACCTATTAGGCAGGCAATAAAAAAAATAAAAAAAAACACCTTCCATGCAGGCTCTAAGCTTTGGTATGAAAAGGGGTGCTGACTCATGCAACTCTTGTGGAAAAATTACATCAATACAATATGAATTTAATGAACATTCAAAGCCCAGAAAACATGGCCCACCTGTCAAATCTTGACAGTGTGTGAAACATGCATAGTTTTGGTGACACTGCCGGTGTAAACAGACAAGTTTATTGTTATTTGGTGAAGCAGTGCAAACACTTACACACCTACTCACTGCCTGAAGAGGTACATCTTTCAAAAGAGGCCATTGAGCTGGAACTTAGAAAGTGAGGTAGGCTGTGACCTTCAAAATACATCAGTCACAAAACACAACTCAGGACTGCATTACAAAGCATCTGGTTAAACTGCATAGTTTCCAAAGGAGTTCTGCAAGAGACTATTAACATGTAATGGATAATGTGGTCAAGCCAGTCATTATCACCAAATGAACCCCAACTGGGTCAGGACCGTGAGATGGATGGTATGACTTTTAAAAGTCCCATAAAAAGGTAGATTAATCTCAATTGAATCTGAAAGGTAAGACTGATTACCCCTAAGTAGTTGGTCAGACTAGTTTTAAGACACAGTCTTTACAAAATATATATGCAACTGGGCCTCTGAAGTCATTTTTACCTCAATCGTTACCTGAGACATAAGTAGTAATGTAATTAATAATAACAGTAAAAATAATAAGTAGTAATTTTACTAATGTCACCGGGACACTATATGATTTTAGCCATGATTTCCCACTCGCTGACCGTTAATGGAGACAGAGCAGTGCTCATACACGTGAGTGACGATCCCTGTGTGTCAATGTTCAAAGACTAATAACAGATGACAGATATTTCGCAGGTTAAATATCTAGACCTGTCTGCGATCCTGTGAAATGTGTTTTGATGGGGAAAGACATCAGTATTGACAGACATTGTGCACTGTGAAAAGAAAGTCACATGTCAAGTCACCATAAAGTAAAAAAAATTTAAAAAAATTATTAAAAATTATTTTTCCGTGCACAACATTATTTTATTGAATAATCTTTCATCAAAATAACTTCCCCTCCCTCTTGTAATGTCTTCTCTTCTCTGATGATGCGTTTAGTGGCTTGAGGGCGGGGCAACCTGTCACTCACATGAGATCGACCAATAGCAAACCACTACCATCCAATCAATTCCCCTTGGACAAAAGTGCCACTCCCGCCCTAAATGTTTTTCTTGTTAGAGAAACTGTCTCACTCGGATATGTGTCACAATAGGGAATAAAAGACTATCGCAACGTCGATTTCATGCCAACTTAAAAGTTGTGTTAAAAGTTGCCGCAATTGACTAGTCAGAATCACGTATTCCAATTAGCCATGTGAACGTAACTTTAGTATTAACTAGAAATACTGCAACTACCCTCATAAACATGGTAGACAAACCACCAAGAAATAAAACTAATACTTATTTTTCTCACAGATTGAAACCCTCCAAGATTAGAGAAAATCATCAAAATCATTGTTTATCTTGATTATTCTTTTCAATAAATCAGTTGGTTAGTTCATGAAGTGGACTGATCCAGTTCTAGAGAGCAGCTTACTGACTCAAATTATTCGGTCACAAAATTGGAGGGAATATTTTCCATGATTAATATTTGGATTGGACAAGTTTTATTTGCATTATGTTTGAAGCTTGAAGTGTTATAGTGACCAGTCATCATCAGAACTTCTTTTGTATTCCACAGAAGAAAGTCAGTCATACGAGTTTGAAATCCTTATTGAACTGTTCCAGTAAAATAAATACTTCCTGTAATGAAAGCCACCCATTCAGAAGAAGAAGTGTATTCTTTTCAGGACTGTTGTGCTAACAAGGAAGCAAACCATTCGATTCTTGCGACCAAACTGTCTAGGTTACAAATCAGCGTGAAGACATCAACAAATTGTCAGAGGCAATCTGCCTACCTTTCCTCAAGACAAAGTCTTTCCCAGAAGACAGCGCCCTTTACAGAATACCCTGGTTGCATCTGTTCAGTCTTATCATGGATGATAATGGATTGGGCAGTCTGAACCAATACAATCAAAGGGGTGAAAATGAGCAAGACAAGGAAATGAACGAAACTAAAGCAGTATGTCTAATACAAATGGCAGTTTGGGTTAAACGTCAAATTTTGTACAGATTGTCAATATAGAAGGTTATGTGCAAACACAGCCTCAGTGATCAGGTTCGATCCCATTTTAGTGACCAAAGAATCAAAGTACACTCTATTGTTTAAGTATTTGCCACATCAAATAACTATTAAACTTATGTAGCATACAACAACAATCTAATAAAAAATAAAGAGAATAGTAAACACAATTAGGCCTTCATAAAAATAGGCACCGAAGTCAGTAACTCCAAAAATCGGATAAAAAAAAAAGTTAATTTTGTTTTCTCATTCGGGAAGTTGTTTTATTTGGCTGTGCATCACAAAATTTCATGGCAACTGTGACATGGCAAAAAAAAAAAAAAAACATGAAGAGCAAAACTAGAAATACAAGTATATTGTACAACATATTTGCAATGGCATTTGACTAGAATGCAGAACTCATAGAATCCTGTTGGGGAGTATAAGGCATTTTAAATATTTAGGACAAGGAACACAAACAAGTTCTACTAAGAGCAATGTGTGGCATCTTTTGTATGTTAAAAAGTACACGAACTTGTCAAACCACACCAACTATAATAGAGATGATGAGAAAAAAGGGCAAGTGTTCATTCTCATTTATAGAAGTTGTTTCTTTCACTTTCTCTTTTGTAGAAGGACCTTCCTCCACCATACTACTCTGTGGCTGTGGACCCACAGACCCCTCCTATGACCTACGAGGAGGTGATTTGTCAGGACAGATATGGTGTCGCTCAGAGAACTGTGCCATACTATGTTCAGAAGGATCCAGCACAAGTTCAGGTACCAGCTGTCATCGTCACTCAGCGAGTTGTCGGTAAGTGCGGAATCTATTTATTCGCTCCGATTTGCCGCTTCCCATAAAAAAGCTTTCTACATAATATGCTCTCGCTAAATGAAGCTAATATCTGCATACTGCTTTTAGAAATTGATCATAATCAAAAAAGGGGGACCAGTACTAGCTGAAAAGTTGACCATTTCAAATGGAACAATTCAAGCCTTTTTAGGCTGCTGTCACTTTAAGACCAAATGGATGGATCCAATATACTTGTGCATTTTCTTTCTCAACTGTTTACGTTCACTTAAGACATAAATGACTGTCTACGAGGATACTTAAAAAGGCAGGCATTTTGACATATAAGTATGTATTTAACTGTAAGCCCAATTAGGAGGGAATAAATATATACAGTATATGAAACTTTCTGACCTTGAGACACAGTCATGACAATCTACAAGGTCTTGTTTGTGAGGTTTCCTGTTTCTGGGTTTCTTGTTGCATAACAACAAGAGGGCTGGACAACATGTTTGTGTCACCACTCTGAATGTTTTTTTGTCACACATGACATGCAGAGAAATAAGATACTGTGGTCCCAAAATTAATAATCTGTCCCCACAACTTTTAAATGCATAGCCTTTAGTAATTCTTACCCTCATTTTTGTTCATTTGTGGCCACGTTGTACTAATTTGGTCTCTTTAATTCAGTTAAATCATGCAGATGATTTAACTAAAACGATAGAACAAATTATTAAATCATGGGAATGTATTCCTAATTCCTGTCAACGATATCTTGTCATGTTTTATTAATCATTTTTACAATAACAAGGAAAGACTATGCCTCATTCTACATTTTTCAACTTTGCATTCTCCAGACAGTTACACAACCTAAACATTTTTACTTCAAACCCCACCAAAAAAAAAAGAAAAAAAAAATTAAAATGTTGATCATATTGAAGTCATTGTATCAAGAAACTGAATTCAAATGTATTTTTGAATAAATGAACAGTCCTCGACTCGCCTACAGTTATAGTAGTTCTACACACTTTTGATCACAAATGTGGGACACTAGTTTAGTTGGATTGCTGATTTGTTCTTGTTCCTTCAGTTCCTCCAAAAAGGCAGGAGTCTTGTGGACGGAGAGGCAAGTGTTGGGGAGGATGGGGAAGTGTGCTGTTTCTGTTGTTTCTCATTGGACTGGCCATCTGGTTTGGAGGTAAAGACAGGACTCACCATTAATGCTCACCTTTGTACCTTAACCCCTTTCCCTGATTTTTCTCTTTGCCTCTCTCTCACTTATGGGGATAGTGCGTTACGGATCCAAGTCATATTCCGTCCATTATGAGGACAATTGCAAGGGAAAAGATTGCAAGGAAAATCAAGACCACGAGACGGATGACGACCTGAAGGGGTGCTCCAACTCCTGCAAGCTGTGTGACGGCACCAAAGACTTGCAATCGGCCAGCGATGAGACAAACTGCGGTGAGCTCACTTTCTACAGCAACGAGGCGGACTATCAGATGTAACTGATTCATAGGAAACATTACAAAGAGATTATTGGTTGAGTGTTTCGGATAATACTTTGGTAAAAAACCACAAGGTTGACATGTCTTGATAAGGAATTTGAAGGTTAGCCAGAAACTGACTGGACTGCAATAAACATTTACAGTACACAGTAAGGCCTCTATTTATTTCTATGAAAAAAAAAATAGCTGTTAAAAAGTACATTGCGAGTTGCACCGCAAAGAGCAAATATATCTAAACCTCTTTAAAACAACATCTGATCATTTTTATCTGCAAAACAAAACCGTTACGTTTGACAAAAACTAAAAAAATCTTACCAGATTAGTATTGTTTAGTATTGTTAAATTTAAGCTAAATTAAGCTAATTCTATACCGTGTTGTTATTGTTAACTAAAACTATTTAAAATAGTTTTTGGTAATTAAAATAAAATATAAATATTATAATAAAATAAAATAAAAATGCCTTAACTTAATGAAATAAAAATGAAGTAACCAAAATGGCCAAAGCTAAAACTGTAAATTATATATGTACAGTGTATATGACAAAAGCACATACCTGCAACAAAATGACTAAAACTTACACTAAAATGAAAATTGGAAATAAAAAAAACTTAAAATAATTCAAAATATTAATAAATACAATACTAGAAGGCTAAGTAAATAATACTAAAACAACACTTATTCAATATATATTGCAGAAAGCAAGTCTTTATCTTGCAATATCTCAAGTATTTTAAAGTTGTTTTGATGATGGTCACATGTTTACTGTAAAAAACGGTAACGGTTCCTTTCACAGTCCTGTTACCCATGTACTTATATGTACTTATTATAGTAATTATAATTACTGGGTAATAATTAGGTACTAACCCTGAACCTACCCCTAAACCTACCCCTAACCCATGTACTTACCTTATATTAGCCAGTACTTTCTAGGTAAGTACACTGTAAGTACACGTGAGTACTGTACTGTAAAAGTAAGCGTTACCAAAAAAACGATTAGGAAATGTAATTTCACTGTTTAACATTCCTTTCCAATGTTCTCAGTGAGATTTGGTGAAGGTGACGTGTTGCAGGTCAGAACTGCTCCGGATGGTGGATTCCTTCCAGTGTGTTATCAGGGATTGGATAAGAGTTATGCTGACCAGATCTGTGAACAACTGGGCTTTAGAGGGTAAACATATTAATCCATCACTAACAAGAGCATTTCTTAAAATTCTGCTACCATTTACTAGTTGGTACCCATATGACTTTCTTTTCTTAGTAGAAAGCAATATGAAATTTTGAAGAATGTTCACGCAGCTCTTGGTCAGCAGCGACTATAGGGTCCATCAACCTTAATAGAGCACTAAAAGCAACATAAAAGTCCATATGACTTTTACATTTACAAAATATTGTATTATGTGATCCAGGATAGAAAGAAAGTCATACAGGTTTGGAACGACATAATGGGTAGAATGAATTATGACCGATTTTTCATTTTTGGTTGATCTTCATTGGGTGAACACTTAATGGTCCAGATATAACCAAATATTAATCTTGTTTCAACAAAAACTATTTTAGCTGATGTCTTGTGTTTCTTTTCCCTTAGGTCTTATGCATCAAGTGCAGTGAATAGCGAGATGTCCAAAGCCCTTACTTTAGAATCTAGATCAGACAAACTTATTCAGGGTCTGGTCAAAGTCAGGTAAGATCAAATCAAGTGCAGATTGTAGAACAGCATCCCAGCTAACAAAAATATGTTCTAAAAACGTTTCGCTAACATTCAAGTTATGAAAAAGTTTCTGAATCTTCAAAACATGCCTTAATGTACTAAACCTTTCCCTTCCGGCGTTTTTCACCGCTAGCGTTTTTGATCATTTTCACAAAAATGTAGTGGCTTCCAGAATATGTTGTTGTATGAATCATTGAACATGCAATTTAGCAAAAGAAAGAACAGAGCCTCTGTTAACAGAGAACTTGAATGTGGGTGAGTTTTATATATATAAAAAAGCAACATTTTGAACAAAAAGCTGAGAAAATCTCGTTTTCGCATAAGCAATGCTTTTTATCTTTGTTTATGCTCCTTTTTTGCTTGTTTTGATCTGGAGATTCAGTAGTATACTCGTTTAGGAGATGTGTAATAGCGCCCCCTACCGTATAACAGTGAAAACATGCAAAGCTGGAAAATTCTGTCAATGGCAGGGAAAGTGTTAAAAGATCCTTATTTTATATACAGGCGAGCAGATGAACCTAGAATATGAACGCAAGGCAACAGGCTAAAACTTTGAGCGTTTATAATGGTTTTCTGTGGAAAAATGCTTAATTAGACGTTTATATTCTGGGTTCATCTGCTTGCCTTTGCATGTGATAGTATATCATCAATAAGGTGTATATTGAATTTGGTATTTTAGTATCACTGTCTAGTACAAACCTGGTAAAAATGACTGGCGGGCAATGGAGGAAAGCCTTGTTTCACCCTCCAGGTGCGCGTTCCTATTAGGGTGTGAATTCACGTGAAAGCTGTTCATTAATGTTACTGGAACAATGTTTGTTACCCAATGGAATACTCCCTGTTAGCTGGGATAATAACTTTTGTGTTGTCAGGGTAATAACTTCCTCAATAGTACATAATTTCTGTCTTTCACCATTTTTGTTTGTTCAGCCCGAGCTGTTTGAACAACAAGGCAGTTTCACTTGAGTGCACAGGTAAGAATACATTTGATCGCAGTTTATATCAAATGACTGTGACGCATAACTAAATGAGACATGTAATACGTCACAGTATACCTTCAATCATTGTTCACTCCATAAGTGACATTGTTTGGATATTGAGTAAATGGATCATCCTTCTCACACTGAACTGTTGAATTAATAGTTTTGTTTTTTCAGATTGTGGCAAGCAGCAAAGTGCCTCCAGGATCATAGGGGGCACGGCCTCTAAATTTGGCCAGTGGCCTTGGCAGGTTAGCCTGCGTTTCAATGGACGCCATGCTTGTGGTGGATCACTCATCTCTCCAGACTTTGTTGTGTCAGCTGCCCATTGCTTCAAAAGGTTGGTTATTAGCCAGGGATTGACTAACTAGGTCAATTCTAAGCAATTAAATATCATTCTCCTCTTCATTATTATACATAAATGTATTATGTAAATAAAAAAATTACCTACATTATAAAACTGTATTAACTATATTTAATTTAGTCTTTTATTCACATATTAACATTGATCAGAGAACATTTAAAGGGTTAGTTCACCCAAAAATTAACATTATGTCCCGACTCACCCTCATGTCGTCCCAAGCCCGTAAGACCTCCGTTCATCTTCGGAACACAGTTTAAGATATTTTAGATTTAGTCCGAGAGCTTTCTGTCCCTCCATTGAAAATGTATGTACGGTATACTGTCCTTGTCCAGAAAGGAAATAAAGACATCAAAGTAGTCCATGTGACATCAGTGGGTTAGTTAGAATGTTTTGAAGCAACGAAAATACATTTTGGTCCAAAAATAACAAAAACTACGACTTTATTCAGCATTGTATTCTCTTCCGGTTCTGTTGTCGAGCCGCGTTCAGTGACGCTGCTGACGTAAGACGCCGCTGACGTGTAATCCGTTTTTTTGCCCAGCCATATTTATTTGAACCCCAATACACGGACGCACCAGATACACGTCAGCGGCGTCTTACGTCATCAGCGTCACTGAACGCGACAGTATACCGTATACATTTTCAATGGAGGGACAGAAAGCTCTCGGACTAAATCTAAAATATCTAAAACTGTGTTCCGAAGATGAACGGAGGTCTTACGGGCTTGGGACGACATGAGGGTGAGTCATTAATGACATAATTTTCATTTTTGGGTGAACTAACCCTTTAACAGAAGCCAGTGGCGGGCCATGCATTTCACCTTCAGTGATGTCCAACCTGAATTAATAACTTTTAATAGTGTAGCAGCGCACGCACATACTCTCTATAATTGTTGTGAATTCCTGTTTTTATTTTGCACCGGCAGTTATAGGGTTAATTGCGGTGAGTACGGGAAAGGCCGGGTAGAGAGAAATGAGCGAGTGAGTTCGGCTTTTGTGTTAATCGACAATGGTTCTAGCGTTCCGTTTATAAATTCAGAAACGGATCCTCCCTTTTCTTATCCTTAAATGGTTACAATAGTATTAATGTTTGAAAAAAGAAGTTGCTTCGATCATAAATTTACAAGAAAAATTAGGATGAAAATCATATTCACCTTTCACCACGGACAAAAACGGGGGCAAAAAATGCATTATACTCTCCAAAACTACTGATTTTTTTTTTTTTTTTACACAAATCCATCCTTATTTCTTTCCTCAAAAAGACTTAAAGGTGCCCTAGAATGTTTTTTTTTTTTTTTTTTTATAATGTTTCCTGGGTTACCCTTATAATGTTAGTATGTTTTTTAGATAAAAAAATATTCATAATTTAGAAATAAATGGCATTTTTCCTAGCCTGCTTTTAGCCTCTGATTTGAACACTCTGTTTGAAGGGGCGTGTCTGCTGTGGGATTCAGTGTAACCGCGGCCACTGCTGTGATTGGCTGACATGCTTGCATATGAAATAGCAACGCATTACATATGAAACTCTCTCCCGAATACTTTTCCTACTGCTATTATACGTTTTTACTATAACAGCTATCGAGATTAACGAATCGTGAGATGTTTTTAAAGTATTTAGATCTATTCCCATCACATAAAATGTTGCCGTGATGAGCATTGAGCAGAGGACAGTGTGTTGATCGCGAGAATGAAGATATTATCATTGCAAAGCAGTTTCTTCACTCTCTCTGCTTTCACCAATGCAAACACGATGATGTAAATAGAGGGTATGCGCATGACGTCACCGTCGGCCGGAGTGAATGCGGTCACGCCCACAAGTGGCAAAAAGACTGAGCGGCAGCATTTGTTTTCAGCGTGAATGCCGTGAAAATCACACAAAACACATCTAAAACGGGAAAGAGCTTTGCGATTGACTGTACAACTAGATTTGACCAGAAATCTGAGGTACTGTATATTTTTACAGACTGCAAAAAGCTACAGAACAGACTATATTCTGCATAATTGGATGTTTTTAAATAAACACTGACAAAAAACTATACAAGTTTTAGGGCTGGACGATATGATGATATACAGTATAACATTAATGTAAGTGATCACTCGGATTAAGACCTATCTATATTGTATTTATATAAAACGTTTACAGGCAAATTGTCTTCATTTATTTCCCCGGCGTCGAAATCAGGCACATATAAATGTCAGGAAACACGATTCCTGGCTGCATGTCAATATCCATGGATCACTGGATCTTTGATAAGTTGTAAGGAACACTATATCGAGTCCAACTTTTAGTTTAAACTGATAATAGTTTGTTTTACTCGCGTTAAAGGGATAGTTCACTTTGAAATTAATTTTTGATATGTTTTAGCTTACCTCCAGTGCATCCAAGATGTAGGTGTCTTTGTTTCCACAGTATCTTCAATTTTGATCATTTTAGGTAAAACCGTTGTTGTCTGACAGTCATACAATGGAGGTGAAGGGGGTCCTCCTCAAAGAGCAGTCAAAATTAAACATTATTTAATGACTCGTAAATGTAAGTACACATTGATGCCCTAAGACACGAAACGAGCGTTTTTTGTGAGAAAACGAACAGTATTTATATCGTTTTTACCTCTTGTAAACACAGCCACGTCCAAGTGATCTGAGGGCGCGGACGCTTCCGTGTGTGACGTGTACGCAGACTGGTGCATAGATAAACTAGACGTCGCCTTGGCGACGGCAGTTCATTGGAACGAAACCTTAGCCAAGGCGACATCTAGGGTATATATTTTCTATGCACCAGTCTGCGTACACGTCACACACGGAAGCGTCCGCGCCCTCAGATAACTTGGGCATGGCTGTGGTTACAAGAGGTAAAAACAATATAAATACTGTTCGTTTTCTCACAAAAACCACTCGTTTCGTGTCTTAGGGCATCAATGTGTACTTACATTTACGAGTCATTAAATAATGTTTAATTTTGACTGCTCTTTGAGGAGGACCCCCTTCACCTCCATTGTATGACTGACAGACAACAACGGTTTTACCTAAAATTATCAAAATTGAAGATACTGTGGAAACAAAGACACCTACATCTTGGATGCACTGGAGGTAAGCTAAAACATATCAAAAATTAATTTCAAAGTGAACTATCCCTTTAACGCAGTTTCCCCTATTAACTCCAGTCACGCAGCAGCTCTTCTGCCACTCAGTCCCGCTGAGGGGGGCGTGTTCCGGCGGGGAAGTGACGTTAATGCATTCCCTCTATACAGTTTTTTTTTTTTTTTTTTTTTTTATTTTTTTTTTTTTTTTTTTTTTTTTTTTATTGCAAAAAACATAGTACAAATCACATCACAAAAAACTTAACAAAATATACATTACAATATACAGACATATAACATATAAACAAATACAAAACAGTTTTGCCAGGGAAGGGCTTTACAAAGAAAAAAAGGACCATATGTTGACAGTTTTAATTGCCTTTTTGTTGTTGGAGCCAGAAATCAGCTTAATATAACATTCAACTTCGTTAAAAAAAAGTACAAAGTTAGGTTTTTTAGCACTGAATTTACATTTATGAATATGAAATTTCGCCAAAATAATTAACAAATTTATAATGAAGTATGTCTTTTCTTTACTATGACTTCTATAAAAAAACAAAACAACGTCCTTCCACAATAAAGCAAAGTCTTTATAAATATGGTCAATGATGAATCTGCTGAGGTTTTGCCAAAATTTCCTGGTGTATGAGCAATACCAAAATAGGTGCAAAACAGTTTCAGGGTAGTCCTCACAAAAAGAACAGTTTGTATTTATGTCTCTTTTAAACTTAACCATGTAATGACTAGCAGGATAATATCTGTGAATTATCCTAAACGACACTTCTTTCACCTTGTTTACTAACAGGTATCTGTGAGGGATCATCCAAACCTTTTTCCAGTCAATAGTATTTACAAATCGGTTCCAATAAAACGTAACATTTGGGATTGAAACAATTTCTCTCTGGAATAAGGCACGAACGTTCTTATTATTCTGAGGAAGTTGGGAGAAACAGATTTTCCCAACTGGTGACTCAGCCACATTGGGGAGGGAGACAGAAGTAAGTGAAAGTCTGCTAGAACACCTAAAGAGCATGATTACGCCTGATGGAATGGCGTCAAATACAATTGCAAATTCTCTTGGCGTAACTGGAATGTTATAGGTAGACAAAAACTCACTATAGGAAAAAAGTCGCCCCTCTTCATCAAATAGCTGGTCCACCAGCAGAATCTTGTTGCTTACCCAATTCTCAAAAAAGAGTGATTTGTTCTTATATAAAATATCTCTGTTATTCCAAATTAAATACCTGTGAGGTGAGAAATTATGCTTATAAATAAGAGACCATGCTAAAAATACCTGTTTGTGAAAATTGGACAATTTTACAGGGAGTTTGTCCACATTATAGTTGCAATTCAAAATAAAGCCCAGACCACCAAAACGAGAGAAAACATAATGGGGGATAAAATTCCAAATCGAGACAGGGTTTTTAAGAAAATGCTTAGCCCAATTAATCTTAAAGGTATTGTTTAGAGTATTGAAGTCCAAAAAGTTAAGGCCACCAGATTCATAATTATTCATAATTACACTTTTTTTGATATAATGGGTCCGATTTTTCCAGATGAAGTCAAAAAGCATTCTATCAATGTCTTTACAAATTGTATTGTCAAGGTGTAAAGCGAGAGCTGCGTACGTGAGCCGGGATAAACCTTCAGCCTTGGTAAGCAACACTCTGCCTTTTAGAGATAAGTCCCTTTGCAACCACTGGTTCAGTTTGTTTTGAGTTTTTTTAATGATCGGAGAGAAGTTTAAAGGACATCTCATTTTCTGATTTTTAGAGATAACAATACCCAGATAGGTAACTTCTTCCTTGACCGGAACGTTGCAAATAGTTTGTGTATTACACTCTTTTACGGGCAACAGCTCACATTTATTAATATTTAGGCATAGACCAGAGGCCTCTGA